GTGCATACATACATATATACACATATATAACTGTATTTTACATACTTAGAATCCATATACGTAGGATTCATAAGGGAGAGAAAAATATGATATTTCTTGCCCTTATTCCTGGGGCCAAATATACCTCTAAAGTCTCCATATCTCATTACCAGTGATGTACACTGAGAAACTTCCCTTCACTCCAATGTTAGGTATAATTTTGTGTCAGCAAATGCTGCCTTCCAGTTTTACATTTCATATCAGTGAATAAAGCTTAGTGTCTTGAGATAGGGATATTTTGTATTCCTATATAAAATGTGTGGTAACTAATCATGTCCATATTCTGATGAAGAAACATATTGAGCACCTATCTTGGAGATATATCAGGGAACAAGTGTTTTACAGAGTACATAGAATTGCATGAGATCTCCAAATATCTTAAATCTGAGTGATTCTCTTGAGTGATTCTGAGCAATGAACCCTGGGGTATAGGTTGCTAAGTTTAGAAAAGCCTCGAATAAATCAAAAGATGTACTTCAGCCAATAGATACAAGTCATAACACAGAGATACAATATCATGAAAAATCAAATAAAAATGATGTCCCCAAAGGATCTCAAAATTCCCTCAAGGACTCAACTCAAAGATATGAAATAGGTAAAATGTTGGGTAGAGATTTCAAAAACATAGTCATAAAATGGTGAATCACCATAAAAGATACAGTCAAGGCTTTAGGGAGAAAAGCTAGCAATAAATAGGCAAATACAAGCAAGATGAATAAAACAATCAGCTACATGGCAGTAAAAGTGAGCAAGGGGGAACACAATTGATTTTCTGGGAATTAAAATTTCAATGTATGAAATACAACACACAAAACAAATAAATCACCAACAGTCTTAATAAAACAGAAAAAAGAATATGCTGGATAAAGTTTGCATTAGAGAAAGCATAGCACTGAAATGTCATTGACAGTCTATGGGACCTCTAACAGCAGAGCCAGTCTTTATTCCTAGAGCATAAATGGACTTTGGGAGCCCATTCCCTATGGAGGAATACTATTGCAGCCCAGATACAGCAAGGAGGGACTAGGCCCTCCCCCAAACAATATGACAGATTTTGAAGGCCCTTAGTGGAGGGCCTCATTATCCCTGGGGAGGAGTCAAAGGGGTGGGTTGGGGAGTTTGGTTGGGGAACATGGGAGGATGGGAGGGCGAGGGAATGGGGAGATGGATATGTAAGTATGAGTAGTAATTAAACAATTTAAATAAAAAATGTAAAAACAGAAATTTCATTGTTAAAAATAAAATTCTCATGGCTATAACACAAAAACATTCTAGCATATGATGAAGAGACCCATACCAAGGATCTTAAGATATTGAAGATATGAAAACCAAAGCTATAAGGAATATATTGAATGAAATGAGAACAGAAAATTTCATATACATGCAAAAAAAAGCGAAAACAAAGACAAGCATTTAGTTGCCTAAATGGATAGCACCTGAGGATAACTCCTCCATGTCACAGATTATGTCTATAATGTAAAATATACAAAGTAAGTAAACAATGTCAAAGATATAATGGGAAAAAGTCAACTCAACTTTAAGACAAATATATCACAAACACATCTGAATTCTCATTT